AGATGACATTGTAATTAGGGAATTGAACAATGCACTTCGACAAATCCCAGAAGACATTGATCACATGCCAACTAGTCCTGGTACTTCAAGACATTTGTTTCAGTTGGAGTTAGGTCAAGTTCTACTCCTATTGGCTCCAATTATGTAACTAGGGAAGAAATGGAATAGATGTTAACATACATAGGCAGCATATAATGTCAGATGTCTCGGGTTTATGTGACAACTTAAAAACAAATATTGTTGAAGAATCCAGGACAGAAGAGAACCATTACCAAGCAATTCTTCAGAATCAAAAAGAATTGTTTGAACAACAACAGAAGTGGCAACAAGATCACTATTAGCTAATGTAATCTAACATGTAGCCTATAGATATTCCAGGTTTGTGCGATACTTTGTTTAGCACACGCATTTCTAAGGAATCAAGAAGACAAGAAATGCAATACTAAACACTCCTTGAAAACCAAAAACAGTTCTTCCAACAACAACAACAGTGGCAAGAAGAACACTACCAGGGCATGCAATCTAGAATGCAAGATTATGTAGATAACAGTTTAAGTTCAGTGCGATCTTAGATTGATGAGCAAAATAACAATATGTTGAACAAATTATCTGACTTGGAATCAAATATGGAGGTTGTTATAGGTTCTCTTCAACGAGATGTTTCTATCCATAGGAGCCATGTTTTGAAGTACGCTTCAAAATTTCAACAGATTGAAGATGTTACAAAACTAACAAAAGAAAAAAAAAAACTAAAGGGAAAAAGATACAGTTTTCGCCACCATCAACAAATTATCATTTGGAAAACTATTCTATGGACATATACACAACAATTAGAGATTTGGTAACAAAAAATCCATCAAGGTAACCGCTCTAATTCTATTTCATTAGCTTAAATATTATTATTTTAATTTCATTTATTTGAAACTAAATGACATTGTGTTATGTAGTGCATATTGAGATGATAGATCTAAAAATGTATACGGAAGAGACTTAATAAAAACTATAATGGATACAACACAAGATATCACTACTGTGGTTAGTAAAATTCATTCATCATAATACATTTAATTCCATATTTAATATATTTAATTTACATCTACTTGTTCTATTATAATCTTCATTTGGAGTTAAAATTGTTGCAGGCGGCTCATCAACGACGATTCTACAATTATTTCAAAAGAATTTGCAATTCTAGACTTCGAATATGAGAGCGAGTGTACTAATCAAACAATGGTATAAGTAGAAATTCGGGGAGGGAGTACCATTGGAAATTCAGGGAATTTAGCTACTTTACAACAGTACGTAAATGGCAATTTTCCAGTTGATGGTCGTCTGAAGATGCAAATATCTATTAATTCCATGTTCGTACCCAGACAACACTTCGTATCTCTTTCTTGTAAATATCTCCAAATGAAAATTCCAAATCTGCGACTATAGCCACAACGTTTACATGCCAGAACAAATCAAGGTACATTCGAATGCAATACTTGATTTAACTCTAGCATTATTGTTGTCTTTAGAACTTTTTGCTTATAGACACTAAATAAGGAAAAATACAAACAGATTAATGGAGGTAGACATCATACCATATCAGCCTTTTGCAAATAATGAGTGAATATTTAAACTATTTACTGCTTACTATAATATTTCTCTTTCTACTTAATTTAATTATACATTTATGATACTAATTTCATTTAACATAAAACTATTTCTTTCATAGGCCAAACTGTGGAGTTTTTTTTGCTCAAATACATAGAATGTTTCGTTCTAGAATATCTGATTCTTCTACATACATGATGACTTTATACATGCGAAAGATTGCAGTTGATATTTGTTTTATTCCTGATACTACTGGATAATCATATGAGTGAAAAACAAAAATGATAACATTAGATTCATACTTAACAACACAGTTGAAATAAATCCTATACTTACAAATACATAGGTACATATAAATCAATTATCCTTTATACTTACGTACATGTTAAATGTTCACCTTTTGAACTACATTTCCAATTATGAATTTTTATTCATTGTACCATTTAATAATTAGCTTAATAAATTGCTATTTGTAACTTCACTCTTCAAATTTCTATAGTAGTCACTTCAACAGCTAAAAATGCTTTAAACTTATTTTATGATGATGTCTAAAGTAAAGTATGAGAACCTTGTTAATGTGAGAGAGATGGATACAATTGTAATTTACTTTTTTCTAGTGAACCATGTTGTTAAGATTTATTTTAAACAAGTCAGTATTGAAATAGGCGTTTCAAATTTGTCTATTTGTTAATTCCCAATATTGCATTAAAAGATGCATCGTTTTGACTATTTATAATTCCAAACTGCTGTCAAAAGCATCATCTTTGTTAATTACTAGCATGAAGCATAAAGTGGAAATGCACAAGGTGATGGTAGAGCCACAGAAAGTTGACAATAGAAAGGTCACTATCCTATTCGGAACTTAGTTTGGTACCACAAAAGGCTTTGCCAAGGTAAAAACTTCATTATGATAATTCAAAGTCTTGAATTAGGTTTTTCCACTTGTGGTTTTGGGTTTTTGGAATTGATTAAAATTGCGGTTTTACAGTTACTGCTATAGAAAGTGAGAAGACGGTTTTATAGTATATGGGATTGGATGGAGAGAAAATCTCTGTTTAATTTGATGTAACCAAAAACTCGAGTTTCCTGCTATAATTTTTTAGAAGAAGATGAAGTTTTGACCCCATCATTTCATTTAATTTAAAATTTTGATTTTCGGAATTGAGTTTTCTATTAAGTAATAGTAAAAGGATTAGCATTTCGTTTATATTAATTATCTTCAATATTCAAATTTAGGGATTGAAGGTGAATCTGATTATGACAAACTATTCAATGTCAAGGATGATGGGATACGAACTTCTCAAAAACATCAAGGTTAGTGATTTTGGTATTCTTAATTCAAAAAGGAAGGTTTTAGATTTTTCCCCAATACTTATCATGATTTTTAGCTATTCTTGGTTGACGCTATTGAAAAATGAAGTTTCTTGGTGTTTGTCTTCTTTACCTTTTTAAATCAGAGCTCATTGAAGCTGCGAAAAATACATGTGGTGATTATGTCGTTTAATTGATTGGTAAACTAAATGTACATTTTTTTCGTTTGGAGCTAAACTTTAACATTTATTTTGTCTGTTGAAACACGAAGAAAATGAGGAAATTTTCCTTTGAAACTATAAAATGCTGAATGCCTTGGCTTTAATATATGCTATGCAGGAATAAATAAAGAAAGCTAACTAATAATTTTGTTGGAACAAGGTGCACTAGAATATTCAGAAGCGGAAAAAGGAAAAAAGCGATGGCGAAAGAGCAGTTGAGCTTGGGTCACGTGAAGTACAATGCTAAACTACAAAGGTATCACCCATCTGAGGAAATGGCCAATAAATCGGCTACACTCACCCCAACTGAAACTGCTCAATCTATAATTGAAGTAGCACACCGCGACATGAAACAAAAATTAAGAATACCTGTAACGGCTTCTGTAGCAGCAGCAGTCCCAGCTCCAAAGCAGTAAATATTTGGGGCCATGTAATGAATTTTCTCGCAATTCTTATCTGCAACAATGGGTATTCGGTGACCCGTGTGTCTGCTCCAAGAATAACACCATCCTGAATAATAATGGATTGTTAACAGAGGATGAGTTAATTATGCATCTAGCCACACTCTTCATGTCTTGTGAACCAGGATCACTGAATATATTCAAAAAAGCAATACCATGTATACAGTAAAGGATGTGATAAATATAAAAAAATAGCTGGTTATGTTGATGTTTTTTCTGTTATAGAACAACTTCTCTAAGGATGTCTAGAATTTTTTCACACAAGCTTCATTAAAATAACGTGGTTTATCATTTCTATTAAATTTCGTTTGAATGGATTCACTCAGGTTTTCCACAGTTGTGGAAATCAACTACAGTGTCTGAGGCTAATAGATCATCATTGCAGGAAATGTCTCTTATCTGCACCTCATTCTCTGCTTATATTGGATTAAGATATGATATGGAAAAGAATAAAGGTGTTTTGCTGGTGTACTTTGTGAACATTCATATTTTCAAGATCATTTAGAAAAGGTGTTTAATATTCTGCTACCAAAATCATTGATTTGCAGAAGCAAATATACTATTTGGAATCTCCAATTGGAGTGGAATTCTCCTACTCTGCTGATTCTTCCACTTATTATAGTGTAAATGAAAAAATCACAAGCATGTTTCTCCACTCTCTGACTCTTGCTAAAGAAATTCTTTGAATTTTTTTCCTTTCTAGAAAGACATGGTAACCATTTTCAGAGGGAAAAATTAAAAAATAATAATAATAACTATCTTTCTTCTTTCTGAATTCTTTATAGTGCCTTTTCGCCACAAATTTAAAAGCAAAGAATTCCCAACGGAGTAGTAACTTGTAAGCTTCAACCTTTGGAGTCATTCTATTTCTTACTGCTGTTAAGTTTCCCAATATTCAAAAAACTTATTTGCATTCCAAGGCATAACTTAGAAGAAAAGATTTAATTCGAGATCATTTCAATACAGGCTTATGGTAAAGTGATAAAAAGGGAATAACTACGCACTTTCTGTTCTAGATTGTGCTTACAAGTAAATCAACAAATTATGTTTGGCGAAAAAAGCGAGATTGACTTATTTTTAAGCACAACAAAAGCATACTTAAGACAATTGTACGAGGAAAAGATTTCTAAATTTCTTGTATAATTGGTTTGCTATATCTTTTGCTTTAGTTTAAACTCTTAAATTGTGTTGTGAATGCAGCTCCTATCAATTCTTAACATTAGACACACTAACATTACATGGAAAATAACATTGCCCGTGCAACACGGGCATAAAACTAGTGTACTTCATAAGTTTAATCTCAAACCTAAGTATGATACATGAAAATAATTAATTGTCAAATCCCAAAACTTCTCAGTAGTGAGGCTCAAGGCATCGAGTCAAAAAAGAAAAAAAAAGAAAGCTCCCTTCAATGATTGTAACGGCCAGGCAATCCTGAAAGATGCTTACTCAAAGCCCTGTCCCTTCTGAAATGATTTCTTCCTCGGCCTCTCCCTCTACCCCCGGCATTTCCACGGCCTCCTCGTCCACCACCATCGTCAGTACCTGCTCCGTCATCTTGTTCCTCGTTCGACTTCGCAAGCCTTTGAACTGCACCTAAAGGAATATTGCCACCTTGTCCAAGCCCATGGATAAGTTCTTTTTGCGCTTGATTAACCAAAGCAGCTTCGTTGTAATTAGCTGCAGCAACAGAACCTTCGACTTTGTAACTGTAGTTCTTACCATCCTTGACATAAAATTGGGGCTTTTTACTACGTGAGTTCCAATTTGAAGTAGAGCTTCCACCATCAGCATCTGATATTCTTCGCCTCTCTGAGTCCATTCTGTCCATCAGAGAATCATCGTCACCAATTCCAGAATCGCCAACACTCAGACCCAAATCATCAAAAGAGTCGTCATACTCGTCTTCATACTCAAGTTGTGATGCCAAAGCTGCTGTTTTTGACAAATCCTTTTCATTTTTAGAGTCCAGGGTCTCAGAATCAGGTGCATTGTCTGTGCGCTTCCTAATGAACCTCCCAGCTGAAGATGAGGATGAAGTTGAAGGAACTCTACTTTGATAGTTTGCAACTCCTGGTTCCACAATTTTGGGCGGATCCCCTGCAGATTCCACTAGTTTCGCCTTCCCCTTGTCATACTTACTCACGGGTGGGGAAGATTTGGAAGCTGGAATTTTTTCCATTGATATGTCAAGAGACAGTAATTCTTCATGGAGTGTACCCTCCAGTATCCTCTGAATCACCTCTTCCATGTCCTGGTTATAGGCTTCAAGACAAGCAGCTAAGAAACCTTTACCATAATCAGGGAAGAGATCCTTTATTTGACTGATTTTTGACTCTATAACTGCCGTGTCTTCATCAGCCTGCATCCCGTTGCTTGTATTTGGCAATGGAACAGAGCTTTTATCCTTGGTATCAGTTCCCAGAGGATGCCTCATAATCCCAGAAAGAAGCTGGAATTGTTCGTTATCTATTGACATCCAACCTTCACAAGAATCATAAAATCAATTAATCTGGAGTTCATTGACAGAAAGCATGGGTTAAATGTGCTGAATAACAAAGAAATAGTGTCATAAATCATCTCCAAGATACAAAACACAACTACTTGCGCTGTTGCGCATCAAGTCACCATTAACCAATCATTTACATGACATGTCCAAGATGAAGTGCTTGCTGTATGGTCATTTGCAGAAGACGGTATTTTATATAAAGAAACTATGATGGAGATAAAATTTGAGGAGAATTTTGTTAATAAAATATTTTCTGGTTAAGCACAAGTTAGATGACTATATGGAAGTACAGTTAGTTGTGGAATGAATGAGGTTTGAAGAGGATGTGATATATAGAATTACATGAAAACCAGAAAGTGCTACAGGGATTCGATGGGATTATTAAGAAGTCCAGAAAGCTAAAAGGCAAGTTTTACATAATTATTATTCTAGTAACTATGTTCTATGCAGTGAGTGTTGGATTTTACAAAAACAAAAACAAAAACAGAAAAATAAAAAAAAAAATTAAAATTGTGCATAACATGAATCTAGTGAAAAATGAAGATTAATATGGAAGCGTGCCAACACTAGAATAGATAAAAATAAGAAATGAGAATATAAGCCAATAAATGAGGGTGATATATCAATTGACAGTAAATTAAAAGAATGATAACTTAGGTGCTTGGGATATGTCTTACGTAGACCTAGAGAAACACTGGTCATAAGATTGTTGATGATCCTTTACCCGGACAGCATATTGGGTCCTCAATGCAATGGTCGAAGAGTCTATAGCAAAGAGAAATTAACTTGGACTTATATGATTGCAAGGGGCTTAATTTAGCCCTGTTTAGTCTCCATTTTCTAACAATCATTTTTCCCCAAACTCATTTTCAACTATGCTTCTCCCAATAAAATAATTATGCACATGGATCTATAATTTTTCCTACTTTTTAAACACACGTTCTCCAAAAAAAAAAAAAACAATTTTCACAAAATTTATTCTAAAAAAAATCTCTACCAATCAAGGGCTTAATTGTATCTAATGATAAATACAGTAATGGACAGAGCGGAGTGGCGAAAGGTATTTACAAAGCCAACCCCGTTTTCATTAGTTATAAAACTTTGTTTGTCGTACAATCAAACTATAAAATAAATGATAAGACGTTTATATCACATCCTACTAAATAGATGATTCACAACATCTAGCTATTAGAGATATATTTGATGATATAGTTGAGAATAACATGCCCCTGTTTGATCCCCTTTCTTTTTTCAGTATAGATTTTGTGAAAAAATGATTTTTTTGGAGATTTAGTGGTTAAAAAGTGCAAAATTATTTTGCGACTCTTTAAAACTAATTTGTTCCTACACTCATTTTTAAACACACAAGTCTCCCAATAAAATAATATTATATGTGAACCCATAACTTCCCTACTTATTATCCACACGTCTCCGAAAAAAAAAATCATTTTTCACAAAATCTGTTCTAATAAAATTTAAATCAAACAAACAATTTATGAGAGAACGTGTGGTTGAAAATGAGTTTAGGAAAAAATGAGTTTTAGAAAATAGGGCTCAAACAAGGGTTATATGTTTATTCCATGCTGGATCTCAAATGCACTCGACCTGATTTGTTAGTTTCAAGTAGCATTTTTCGTTCGATTCTCATGACGTAAAATCTTCTAAAGGAAAAAGAAGAAAGACAGGAACTTCAAACACAAGAATGTCATACAAATCAATGAACAGTCACTAATGCTCCAATGCATAATAGGAAATCTCGTTAGACAAAATACTTGAGCAAGAACAAAATTATGCATAACAAAAGTATTTGCTGCAGGATATCATGAAATACAACATAAGACGATAATTATTACATATTAACCAAAAACATATATCGTCATGTCTAAACACATTGTATATAGGTAAAATCAAATATATTTTTTAGTCACCCACTGACGCATTAGATCTAATGATTCAAAGTTGCGTCAATAGTCTGCTGCTCAGAAATTTGTTGACGAACTCAAAACAGGTATGTTTTCTAAGTGACGAAATTAAAAGCAGAAAATTCCAACTGAAGAAATAAAAAATATATTTTCCATAGAAAATTTTACCTGTATTTTGCAATAATTCAATACTGCTCATTATCATGTGGTTTTTCTCAATGTTTTGAAGAAATGTACCCCCCGTTTGTCTACCGGACACATGTGAGTAGTTTCCACTGAGATCTCTTAATGACTGTATTAGAATGTCAGCCCTTATGGCAGGGTCCTCCACATTTGCAGGAAACATCTTCATGGAAACAGGAAAAGAACAACTCCCTTCAAATACATCGTCGCTTAGATAGCAGCAGTTCAGTATTTTCCAACCAAATTTAGCTATCCTTCTTGATAGCATATTCAGACTGATAAAAACACTTGAGAGCATATCGCTCGATGTTTCCCGATTTCCATCCTCTACTGCATATATAATATTGAAACCCCTCCATAAAGAAGGTAGCAGTGAGTCATGTAACCTTGCAAGGGTAGTAAGCAATTCCTCATTTCCAAAGCTGCAAAAACAACAAATCTTGATGAAACAGTAAAGCTAAGCGAATGCAGTTGCGGGAAATAGGACAGTCTCCCAACAGAAATAAAAGGAGGATAAACTGTAGGTCCAAGAAGGAAAACAACGAAAATAACTGTCTACTACATGTTATTTGTCCTATTTCTCAAGTATTTGGCATCAACCCTCGCAAGAGATGTAACAATTTCGACTGGCATAAACCTCTTAAACCACTAGTAACCTAAATATTGAAGCAAATGGATTCATGCAATTCACTTCAGGTAAATACTTGCTTCACAATATTATGTTCAGTAAAAGTAAGCTAAAGACTCTATGATACAAATAGTATTGAAACTTAAAAGTACAACATGCAGCCATCATCAGTATTTATTTGTTTTGTCATTTTTAATTGATACAAATGTAAACTATGATGGCAAACTTCATTAGATGTTGTCTCAGGAAGAAATATGAGCACGAGGGGAAAAGGCACACTTTCTCAATTCTTGTGGGCGGTCACAGTCTTGTTCACTGGAACATACCCGTTTAATACAGGTATTCTTCACATGGAGCTAATTACCGAACTAGACCTAACTGGTTCTAGTTTGGTCCTAAAACAGGAGAAATTCTCTTCTTTATTTTTATGTTCCATGTGAACCTCCCCCTCTCTGCGATCCTCACCTACGTAACTGCCCATATTTTATTTCAGCAAAAACCCATAAAACAGAAAAATATATTCAAGAATTAGGAGATGAAATATCTGAGAAAATACCCATATTGTATTTTGGTTGAATTTTTGAGAAGATAGAAAGATCTGATTAAATGTGAAGTAAGAAATGAGGAAGATGGAGCTTGCAAAGAAGAGCTAAAGAAAAAAGAACCAGTCCTGGTGTTCAGATCTTTGGTTAACACTTGGAGGATGCTTTAATAACCAAACTCTGCTTTTTTTTTTTTTTGCATGGAACCGAATTGGCCAGTTCGGTCTGAGTGGATCCGTTGTCCATCCCTAATTCTTACAATGATGATAAAGTTTCTCTAAATGCATGAAAGAAGGTCTCAAATTTCCAGTACCAAGTTCAATACCTCATTTCAACCGGAGAGGTGAAGAAGATGGCTGCTGGTTTGTATGCAGTAACAAAAGAATCCATTGATACAACTGCATCATTTACAAAGTCCATAACCTGTAATGATTAAAATTGAGGACAAATCACAACAGAAATGAACTAAAGCATCTATGAAACACATCTAAAACAGACCAGAAATGAATAATGCAACAAAGTTCAATGGTCAAGATAGTCATAATATAAATCTATTTTCCAATGTGTCCAAGAAGCCAAACTTAGTTTAGTTAAAAATGTGTTACAATAAACATTTCAATGTACAATGTTGAAAAACTGTCTTCCCTGGACTTTATGTGGAAAGATTTTTCATAATATATGGGGAGAAAAGAAATGTACGTTCACATCAGTATGAATGATACAAGATTTTTCTCTTGAAAGATTTTTTTCGTTTTTGCGGGAAGGGGAGAAGATGCTATGGAAAAGTTGCCAAATAATCTGATAAATACCTCCAGATAGTCAGAATGAAGGTGATTTGATCCTAGGTCTTTCCCACCACCAGAGCTAAGTAAAACCTGCTCATAAGTCATAAACCACAAATAAAATATTTATGTGCATACAATTCAGAAACCCTTGGGCAGTAGCTCAATATTCTGCATAAAGTTTAAGACTGCATAATGATTTCAATTACAGCAAATGCTCCAGTTCCATAGAAGACTTAAGCAACTTTCAGTCAAACATGCAAAACCAAGAGAGAACAGCAATTACTTCTAGGACACTCATTGTATAAGTACTTTACCTTGAAATTGCACATCCAAATGAAACAAGCAAATGCTCTTTAATAGTTCTATCATTTTCTAAATATCTGACATTATGTTAAAACTTATCCACAAGAACATCGTTAAATAAATTATACATTATCCAAATAATCCCAGCTAAAATAGTCCCGAGAATATTAATTTACCAAATTGTTGCTCAAAACTTGATATTCTAAATTATCCCTCAGCTTATTTGGGACACAAATGTGCCACGGTACTGTCCTCCAAATAAAGAAAAATACTTGAGCTATGAGACAATGCAAGGGTTTCTTTTTATGCAAGAAAACAAAAATGATTGACTGGAACACAGAAAATCCACCTAGAGATCTGGTTTTTTATCCAGCAAACAAAATTCTTCTTGATTCTGTTTTAGGTACTATGACATTGCATTTTCCTACATAAATTAGCTTGGAAATTCTGGTGGTATATTAGCTGGATGAAAATTGTTATAGCTCAAGATTAGCTGATGTTTGAACACCATATTTCTAAGCAGAAGCATGATTCCCAGTATCGTTGCTGAATATTTTAACTTTTTGATAGTTCACTATAAAGATTGGAAGTTTTCTTTTAAAATTTCTAGGAACTGGAATCAGACAAGTTAAAGATAGGTTTCAGGCACAATGTTGCTGTCAATTGCACATGAAAAAAGCAAGAGATTTAGACTGTTCCAAAATAACAATTAAAAATCTAAGTGAGAGATTTTGATCCTGCGAAATGCAGATTCCATGCAAGAGGTATAAAGCATTAAAGCAATATATTGAGATGGATCCATATAAAATGGCTACTTCCTGCAACTACATCTAATACTTAGACAGTCAATGGTGTTGAATATGTGATGTGTGATGCTAATATCTAAGAAAAGGTTGTTTTCGTCCCCTACTGACACTTTCATTTATTTCTTTTATTGTAAATGCGCTTTTTGGGATGCGATTTCATAGGCATTAGCTATTTAGCTTATTTGGGTTTTGAAATTGATATCACATACTTTGCATACATAATGAGCATTGAACTAAAAGTACACGATGAGATTGAATGTAAATTATTTTTGTAAAATCTCAAATTGTATAAAGCAACACAAATTAGAATTGAAAGAAAGAAGATTACTACACCTCCAAGGATGAGCCGCATCGCTGATACATAGTCTGGACAACGTTTAAGAAATGAGATGCTACTATGGGCAAATCAACTTGGACACCAGGTTGTGCCTTCATCGCATTCACCACCTGGAAAATAAGTAACAACATAAGAGAGAGGTGTAGACCAGCAGTAGTGCCGGTAGTGGTGGCAAAGGAAAAATTATGACTCCGAGTGGTAAAGTACATTATTTCCTTATTAAAAGGAGATTAGGGAAGACATTTTTTGGATTGAGCTTTCAGTAGGATTTCTTTTTCCACCTTTGATGTCACCAATCAACCATACAAAGGAAAGGAAGAGTTTGAATTGCTTTTCCTGTTTAGGTGATTCTACATAAGCAAAATATAGCCTTAATTGTATATGCAATTGGATTAGCGTATCCTATTTTCAATATGTATTTTGACCTTAATGCAAGGAATTGAGAGCCAATATCAACTTGAGGAAAAAAATTATTAGGTGGTTAAAAACCAGGTGATGTAACATGCCGACCACCAATATCCTGCTGGATCCCTCCAAACAGAAAATAATATCTCCATCCAAACACACTGTAGCACATCATCCCCATTTCCGACACAGTCATTGTGCAACCACCATTACCACCCAGCCTTTTGGAAATAATATTCCCCCACCAATGATATTCTGCTGAATCCATCCCCAAACCATAATGAGATCTCCATCCCAACACAATGTTGCAACCAATATCCCCCATTTCCAACAGTGTCGATGTGCAGCCACCACTACCACCCAACCTTTTTGAAAATGAACACCTGATGGGGCATGTGACTTGATGGCAATAGAAACTTGCGTAGATACACACTTATTCTAGGAAGGACAAATATTGAATAAATTGTGATTTATTTGATCGATTTCTCTACTAGCATTGAATTAGGTCATTTCCATTTTGTTAGTTCAGTAGCCTTCCTTATTTACTTGAATTTTAAGCACAAGTAAGAATAAGGGTTTCAAATTTTCCAGACTTCAGAATTGATTAGAGATATTATCGAAACTTGCCCCTCCTACTCTTTTCTCAGTCTATCTCTCTTTCTGTATCCCTTTCTCCATCACTACTTGACTATGTGTTTGAAGTTTGTGTTGCTCATTGTAACAGATTTGACAACCTTGGTGATGCAGCAAAAAAGGTAGTAAGATCCCCCTGCCCTTTTGCTGAATTCATTTTTTTTTTCTTTTTCAATGGTGGTGGAAGGAGATTTTGACATTTTCGAGGCTCTATTAGCTGCAAAATTTCCAAGCAGAAAATTCAAGGGTTTTGTGGGACCTGGTGGTATTATTGATCATTTTGGATATTGTAAGAGGAGATGGAAGTGTCAATAGTAGTACTTGAAGGCATGAAGACTTAAATTTCAGTATGAGGACTGCACATTCATAAAATTATTGGGGTTTTTAGGTTATTGGTTTCTAGGGAATTCTGTATGAAGTTTACATAGGAAAATAATATAGTATGACCACTGGCAACCATTGTTTTAAAAAGTAGTCCAAGACTTACGGCATAAGAGCCACCTCACGTGAGGCTTTCATTAGAAGCTTTGAAGCTTACACATACTTAGGGTTCGCCTTAAAGCTAAGCTTCAGGGAAACTTAGGCGTGCTCGTTTGTCTTTTCTTTTTGGGGCTTTTTATTACCAGCCTCAGGCACAAACTTTTTGGCTATTTCTTTTATAGCCTAGAACATTATACACATTTTTTGTTTTCTTTTATTTGACTTTACGAGGAATGGGAATGAGAAGAGGCAGAGAAAGGACAACACGCCATTGCAAATGGTTGACGAGAAAAAAAGAGAAGAAATTGATGGTGTCGAGGACTTCATGGAATCAAATATGATAACGATTCTCTTGAAATCCTAATAGTAATAGATTATAATTTTGTCATGTAATGACAAAATTGTGACCTTACCATTCACTACTTTATTTGTCTATTTTATGCTTGTTAGCAAGTTAGACTTTTAACTTCGTAACATATATGTGGTTATTTTCTTGAAATCTCAAGTGCATCTTTTAGATATATGTACACTGACCTGACCATTCTTCTAGAATAACATATTTCTTACTTAATATATAAAAACTAAATGATTATAAACGGTTTCATATATAAATAGATAGAAAAGAGTAGTAAATAAGTGAGCAATACTTGTGAGTCCCATCAACTATGTAGATAAAAAGTGATTTAGCTGTTTATAAATATTTTAAAACTCTTATTATATTACATCCATTATTCCATTTACACACTTTATATGTTTTTTGAATCCATATTGTGTTAAACTCAAATTAGATCATCTATTAGATATCTGCTCTTATCTGACAAGCAATCATAAACCATTAACACAACCACTTTTACCTAACTAATGTGGATTGTTCCAAGAGTATTGGACCCTTGTTGAGGGGATATCAGAGGGTCCTGGTGTTATGCATATAGACACCTGACCAAGTGTATTTCCTGCTTAGAATCCATACATACATAGATCCGATTTGCATTGAGAACAAATATTGTTTCAGCTTAAATGTCACATTTAAATCCTTTGAAGTCATGCATGAAAACTGTAAGAAATTTAACCTTATTAATCGTTTCAACTGATAAGCCATTTTCTACTTTACTTTATCAGAACATATAAAACAACCGTTAGATGCTGCAAACAATACATACAATGAACCAGAATCAGACATGGTTATGTGAGAGGGAGGAAGGGAAGAGATAGATAGTAGTCACGATTGAATTAAAACTTTGCAAATTTCTCCAAGATAAACGAAATAATTGATATTGAAGTTACTGTTAATAGAAAGGACAGAGGATGCGTTATTACATAAATAAATAAGCTGCTAGCCACTTTGATTGCAAATACATACCAATGTTTTAGTCAGATCTTCATTTTCATGACCATAGATGGCACATATATCTAACAATTTTGGCAAATCTAGTAACTTCTTGTCCTGCAAAAGGGCTACAAATAAAATTGATAAATAAAGTGTACCAATAGAACAACTGTTAAGATATTACATGTGTTGAAGAGTGCATATTCTTGAAAAAATTTGCAATTGGATATACGTCATTTATGGCTGGTCGTAGAAGGAAAGTGGAATAGATTTTGCAAAAAATGGAGATTGAAGAAAAACAACACACCTGCGTGATCCTTTGGACTGAGAACATCAGCAGCCTTAGCCCCAGGATCCCGATTGGAAGATCTACAGAAAATGAATTTCCAATCTGTTAGTGAGCCCAAAAGTCAAATCCAAAACCAAAATAATCTAAGAAACCAATGAGGTATGATAGTCACTTACAATCGATACAAAACCATGAAGACACGCTGACATAACTCAAACTCACCAACAATCACTCCAGCAACTATTCCTCTTGCTCCACGATACGGGAAATCATACCACCTACTTCTAAATTTTAGAAAGCTTTCGAGGAAATCGTGCAATGATACATCACTGGCCACTGAGAGAAGGGAAACAAATCAAAATAGTAGAACGGTTAACCTTTCTAACCAACCGAACAGCACAATATTAAGAACTAGTTTGTTGCTCAAGAACACTTTAGCCCTGTTTGGTATTCTTTAAAACTCATCTTTAACCACAGGTTCTTCCAATAAAAAAATTTTACACGTGGATCCAAAACTTTTTCATACTTCTTCACCACACATTCTCCCAAAAAAAAAAAAAAATTTCAATTTTCACAAAATCTATCCTTAAAATCTACATCAGACAGGCCTTTTATCATTTTTGGATGTCATTCATTCTTCATAACGCAAATAACAACACTTTCTCTTCTGGCAAATGTATCATAATACTTTATAACCTTATTCTAGAGCTACCCACAAGCATAAACTTAACAATGCACCACTTTATAAACTCTTTACAAAGCTTCCTGCCAACATGAACTAACATTGCACCGCGTAAATTTTCCATTCTATGGCCACTCATGCAAAGGAACAATACCAAGTTTGCATAAAAAATATCACTTTGAGGAGTAGGCACATAAAAATTCCATCCAATTAATCACTTTATTTCTTCAAGAATAATCGAAGTACCCTAACAATATTTTTGTTTTGCTAAGCTTCAAAACCCATTTAACAGAACTCTTATATATCCAATTGTCAATAATAGATATACCATAACTCATAACTAGCAATTGGTATTTAAAAAAAACGCAAGAATCAATAAAAATTTAGAGAAAAACTACCTTCCTTCCAGAACTCCCTGGGGCTCAATTTCAGCAACCTGGACAATTCCCTATTCAAAAGGTCCACGATTCGCTGTGACTCCAAAGGATCCAAGCCACCCTCATCGGCGCCAAGCCCCGTGGCCACGGCCTCATCCTGAGGCAAGTAATTTACGAAACGGCCAGCGAGGGGGGTTTTACTGATCGGAACCCAGTCCCCGTTCTCTCCTATCCTCACCCGGCCCATCGACTCCGCCACAGCATTAACGCCACTCCCACCTCTACCGCCGTCACTGCCAAGGATGGTTGTCGGGCAGGCAGAGGCGGCACGGAGGGAATTTGAGAGGGTTTCTAGCTGACTACAATTTTGTGGGTCTCTCTTTGGGATGAATTTCTTCTGGGGTTTTGCAGAATTCCTATAATTTTGTTCCTCATCCCTGTTTCGGCTGTCGAATCGATTCGACATTTATTTCTTTTGTGTTTGTGTCAATATATATAAACAAGCTGATATGTAAATACAGCCTAGTATTACAGAAACTTCGTTTTATAGTAAAGATGCAGATATGAAACGATGAGTGATGATTCCTACACAATGGAGTGGCGAGTGGGAAATTATTGAAAATACCCTTAATTCAACCATACCCTTTCCAAAATACCCCTTTTTACTATTCAACCTTAAAACTACCTAAAATACCCTTAAAATAAAAGGATTTAAAACAAGTCATTTTAGTCCTTAAACTTTAAATCTAATTTTGGATTTGACAAAATTGTTTGCCACTTGCAATAAAAAAATACCAAATGGGTCATTTGACCCAGCTATTTTGAAAAATCCCCCGTGGCGAGTCTGGGCTTTGAGGATTCACTATTTATAGCATCCAAAATGTTTCGACAGTCAAACTTTCGATAATGTCACCTTCGTGCACCAATGGAATTTGGGTAGAAAAAATAAATTTTAAGGAATTGAATTGTATAGAACTTATTTTACTAGGAATTGTTAATTAATTATATTTGATTGAGATAATTGTTCACCTCAAAAATATTGAAATTTTGGATCTTTTAACGTTCGTTTGATTTTGTTTTTCATGGAAATTGTCCATTAAAATGATAGAATTTGTTACAATTTGGGATAAATTTTGTTTCAATTGCTAAAAAAAACTGCCTAAAAAAGTTTTTCTCACCAAACTCAAGGAAAAAGATTTTCCTCAAAAACCAAGAAAATATGGAAAACCAATTCTATGGAAAATTTAGTCAATCATACATGCAAAAATGTGGAAATTGATTTAAATTTCCATCTTCCGTGGAAAAGAAAGAGCAATCAAACAAGGCATCAATATACTTTCTTTGGCATCCAACCTAAATTTTACAAATTTACACTCCATCATTAACCTGCTAAATTTTGTCTGCATAATCCGCCTAAGTGGAAGATGACTTTCATATCTGGCCGTTAAATAAAGCAAACAGGAGAATGAATTGTCCAGTCACATGAATCAAACACGCCTCATCTAATTTGAACATTGAAGTCGCGATTTGGAAACCCTATTTTCTCCAAAAACGCTCGATCTCCATCAGCTTCGAAGGTGAATCCTTCAAACTCCATTGAACCCTAATTCCCAAAATCAAACTCCAGCAAAATTGAAGCACCACAAGGGCCATTATTGAATCGGTTGAATGGAGCAAAGTGATTTTGTTGTTCTGGCTAAGGTGTTGTCCGAGGTTCCCGTTTTCCATACTTAAGTGCAACCAATGTTGTTGTCCATGGCTCCGGTTTTCCATATCGTTAATTTTTACCTTTTAGGCATTTCTCTTTGATTTTTGGAGTTCACTAGTGCAGACCTTCGATACCATGCTCTAATGCCAGTGCAAGGTTGTATTCTACCATGCTCTAATGCCATTAACATCACTCATGCAATCTTTTGTTTTTATATCATAGGGCTTACTGCCTACTGACTGTTTAGTTTTTACAACAGCATAAGTAATCAATGGATGCATTACATATTATGTTTAGTAGGAAAGAACAAAGGAATTTGCCACGATTGCAGAGAACCAGGCCACCAATTGTAGGTATGCCCAAAGAAGCAGCAATGTCCAGATTTTGCCGAATGCATCATGAAATGGATGGAAATAGAAAGGACGAAGAACATAGGTCGGTTGTTCTTTTGATGCACTAGAGATTGTCGCTTTTTCAAATGGAGTAAAATCCTACCCCATAAACGTAAACCATGACAAGATGAATGTCGGTCCATTGTGTTGAAGATGAACGAAAGGGTTGTCCAACTGAATATTCTAGTTTGTTCAATACTGCAACTGAAGTTACCGAACAACGAGGTGTCGAGATATTTCTCAAAATAAGCTTCTGCAAGAGTAAAGGAGATACGTAGGACAGTGGAAAACAAAGGGAAAGGGATTAGCAAACGTATTCTACCTATTGTTGACGACGAGACGAGGAGAACTAGATTTTAATTCCGTGTTTGTGTAATGATGACTAGATTTTTCATGCCTTTACTTTCACGTTTATTGGTGTTGTTAAACTGGAGATAATTTACTATACTTGATGTTGCGATGATGTTAAATTGTGTTCGATTTTATTTAGTATCGTGTATGTTGTATATGGTTTATACACTCACACAAATACCAGTTATAATTCATCAAATTATTGACTGGATGCAAATTCCAAGTCAAGAAAAGTCGATATTGAATGCAATCACGCAACTTCAAGAACTGGCCTTTACTTCATTTCACAAAAAAAAAAGTGTAGAACTTTAACTCATTTCAATGAAACCAACAGCAATACCATATTCATTTTTAACATTGTACTCACATTAAAAAAAAAAATTACATCAGCAGCAATACCAACACAACATTAAACTGCTTTCACAACAAAATCACCAGCAATACCAGCGGCAAACATGTTCATGCGGCCTTTAAAAACTAGCACAAAAACTTGGTGAAATTACATCTCCCAACACATATTCATATCAACTTATATATGAAAAACCATCATCAATCATTGCACAAAACTTACATCAAAGCATTGCACAAAAATCATCATCAACACTAGCACATATTCATACCAAACACTGCAAAAAAACGAATTGCTGCCTTCAACTTCTATAAGTCGCAGCATGCCCCATAGAAGTTTTTCTCGTTAGTCCACCTTCTGAAGCCTCATTTACAACGGTGTGTGGAGTCACCATCAAAGTTTTGAAGTTGGATTTGCTCAATCCAAACGTGTGTTTAATGATGCTCCACCATTAGTAGGAAATGTTATAGTAGGCCCATCACTTACAACAGAAACACATTGTAGGTCGGTGCTTGGAGCCGGCATTAAACTACTTTCACAACAAAATCACCAGCAATACCAGCGGCAAACATGTTCATGCGGCCTTTAAAAACTAGCACAAAAACTTGGTGAAATTACATCTCCTAACACATATTCATATCAACTGATATATGAAAAACCATCATCAATCATTGCACAAAACTTACATCAAAGCATTGCACAATAATCATCATCAACACTAGCACATATTCATACCAAACACTGCACAAAAACGAATTGCTGCCTTCAACTTCTATAAGTCGCAGCACGCCCCATAGAAGTTTTTCTCGTTGGTCCACCTCCTGAAGCCTCATTTACAACGGTGTGTGGAGTCACCATCAAAGTTTTGAAGTTGGATTTGCTCAATCCAAACGTGTGTTTAATGATGCTCCACCATTAGTAGGAAATGTTATAGTAGGCCCATCACTTACAACAGAAACACATTGTAGGTCGGTGCTTGGAGTCGGCATGAATTGAAAACCATGAACTTCCTAGAGTGCTAGGCTCGAACCAACACCTTTTTCCTAGGTCAAGAATCAATTTTCCATGTTCATGAAAATGAATCACATACTCATATCTGAATAAAAAATTACACACATGCCTACATAATATTATAAGTACTAATATGTTTTGTTATGTACCCTGACGCATACTTTTCTGTATCAACTGGTTCCAACTGTCCTTGCTAACAATCCTATAAATGGAAAATGAATTAATCACTTGTTATTACATTTAAAATGAGCAATAAGCATTTTATCAAGTACATAGGCAAAGGGTGCATCATGATTTGAGTGATATCTTTTGTGTGATCATGTAATCCACATGTTGAGCATGTCATTGCTACCCTTCCTTTTCTCCTAACATGAGATTTTCCTTTTGAGTGTTCGATAACATCTCCATCCGCTTGTCTCATCCTTTTATTTTGCTTTCTTTCCCTTTGTGAAGTAGTCATTTAGATGGTATGATGGGAAGAGTGTGAAGATAGGGCCACAATCGTATCCAGTTAATCGGATTCATAATATTACAATAACATCTCAGATGCATTTCTAGTGTGTAACTTTTGTCTACATACTCCTCATAATCATTTCTACACTCTCGAATAACGGTAATGATGTGGCTATATGGTATTCCTATCAAGTCCCATATCCTACGCGTACAACTCCGCTCTTCAAAGTCAACAACATATATCCTTGACCTGCATTCCACCTGCCATCTAGGCTCCCTTAAAAATTGTAACATACATTCATAGGGCATCTTCGCAATCTTAGCAAGATTTTTTCTAATTCTCGGACACAGTCGCTCTCCACACTTCATCATCTTACTTCAACGCTTATCAATTTTGGTCATAAACCCCAACTGTATATTGGTCAACATTGTTATAATCAACATTTTCCTATCATCAATTAACATCTTATTAAAGACTTTGCACAAGTTTTTCAATAAAATATCACTTTTTTTAATGTATCTTGAAGTGAGAGTAACTGTTGTCTACATACTCCTCATAATCATTTCTATACTCTCGGATAACGGTAATGGCGTGGCTACATGGTATTCCTATCAAGTCCCACATCCTACGCGTGCAACTCCGTTCTTCAAAGTCAACAACATATATCCTTGACCCGCATTCCACCTGCTATCTAGGCTCCCTTAAAAATTGTAACGTACATTCATTGGACATCTTCGCAATCTTAGCAAGATTTTTTCTAATTCTCGGACATAGTAGCCCTCCACACTTCATCATCTTACTTCAACGCTTATCAATCTTGGTCATAAACCCCAACTACATATTGGTCAGTATTGTTATAATCAACATTTTCCTATCATCAATTAACATTTTATTAAAGACTTTGCACAAGTTTTTTCAATAAAATATCACTTTTTGAATGTATCATGAAGTGAGATTTACTCCACTCGGACTGGTGCCTCTTACCCAGCCAGTTATAAGCGATTTCACTAACTTAGCGAATTTGTTGCATCCACTACTTGTACTCAGGTATTGTAGTTGACTTAGAAACATGCCAAAATAAGTCTTTCCCTTATATCCTTTATCAAAAAAAGTTTGTATACGTGTGTCGGACACAAAACCTATGCCCTGCCTCTGGCAATAACTTGTCAATGACATTACTTAAACTTTTTTGCCAATTTGT